AATAATAATAATAAAATGAATATAACAAACATAATAAACATAAAAAAATATAATAGAAATATTTGAAATTTTTATTATGTATGAAAAATTTTTATTTTTTTCATATATAAGTCTATATATTGGTACTTTCTATTAATTACTAAGAAACTAATGATTAAAAAAATGACAATATCAAAATTATGAATAATCATTATACAAATAGTAAATCTATGAATAATAATTTAATTCAAAATGATTATGATTAATGACATGAATAAAGATATTAAAAAGTGTTTTTACAAATTTGATGAATTAAGACAAATTTAAACATATATGATATATATATACATATACATGCCTTTAAATTATCAAAGAATATTTGTTCAAAAGATATGCATCCTGTTTTACAATTGTGATCAAGGAAGATTAGTTATTAAAAATTTCGACATTTCATATATAAGTATTTATTTTGTATATCTCTAATTTATTATTACACATATAACTATATATATATAATATATAATATATAACTACATATATAAATACTAAAAAAATCTTCTTATATTATAAATAATAAGATTTAAAAATTCTAAAATTATTTTTATGCGCTGATAAACTATTTACATTATGCAATATATATATAATTATTTTTGTATTATTGTGTAATATATGTATTGTAATGTTTCTCAACATACTAAAAAACTTTTAAAAAAAATTTTTTGATATCTATATACTTACAAAATATTTAATCATTTTAATTCAATTAATAATAAAACATTCTATGTAATATTTAATAATAAAATATTCTATTTTAATATTTAATTTATTAACATAAATAAAAATTATTCATTAATTTTATATTTTAATTTCATTTCTAATTTTTTGTATGATAGTTTTAATTTATCTATCGGTTTATTCAATCTTGTTAAAATTTTTTATTTTTATTTTAAAATTAAATTTTTTTTATTTAAGTTAAAATGAAATTTATAATTACATCAGAATTACAAAAGGCTTCGTAGATTTTTAAAATAGTATTGCTATTTCTTCAAACATTGTAGGAAAAGTCAGCATAGATTGATTATTTTTTTTTTTTTCTTGAAACAAATTTCATACTTGCAACAAACTATAAAAGCATGTTAACTGTGTAAGAGAGAATTTGAGATAGAGTTTCAGAGAATCAAACGCTTTTTGCTTTTGGGCATGTACATGAAACTAAAAGCTGACGAGAATAACGAGAAGAACGTTTATCGCTCTGATCCGTCACTTCCAACGCACATGCTGAAGAAATTAAAATTTTTTGTCCATTTCTTCGAACGACTAGTCACCATCTACAGCAGACCGTCGTGGGATCCCAACAAAAAGAAAATAAAAACGAGAAAACGAAGAAGCGTCTGACGACATCGCTGCACGATACTTTCAGAATTCATTAATGGAAATTCTACTCACCAGTACCGCTGTTTTTGACCATTTCTTCCTTATTTTCTTCCAGTAGTATCCAGAAAAATTTTAGAATTAAAGAGAATTGTGATACATACCTATATATGAACAGAAAGAGAAACACGATTTGAAAGTACATAATTAAATATTGATCAGAATTTTTGTAATTTTATGTTTTAGAGTTTAATCTAAGATATTAGATTATTCTGTCAAGATATTTTATTTTTCTAAAAAAAATTAAACTTTTGATAAACTAATTGATTCAAAAAATTAAATGTTATTCTTCTAATAAATGAATATTTTAGTATCTGAAAAATAGATATAATTTATTTGAAAGAAATAAAAATTTGAAAAAAAATATTTAAGTTTAAAATTGAATATATAAGCGATATACAATAAATTTTTTATTTAATTTTACATTCCGAGAACTTTAAATATATTTTCTTGAAATAACATTTTCACATATATATGTAAATTCTTTCTTTATATAAAAATTTGGACTAATATTCTTTAATATATTTTGATATCGGATTTAATTTTTGTTAATAATGAATCATAAAATGAATTTTTTTCTTCTAAATATCTTTCAAATATCTTCTTAATTATCTTCTATAATCTATATCTTCTAATTTACTTTTCAGTTAGCTATCTCATTATTTTTCAACTGAATGAAATCCTATAATCGATATACAATACTTAAATTTATTTAATATTTTTCAAAATTTATTTAAAAAAAAATCTGTTGATTTTTATTTTTATTTATAATATAATTATTAGTAAAAATATATATGTCATTTAAAAATAAATTTCTCAAAATATTTCTCAAAGTATTTTTAAAAATATTAAAACGTTTTAAAACTTTCTTTCAATTTTAATAAATATTTTTAAACTATAAAAATTGTAATTCATTTTCATATATATATACATGTATATACATATATATATATAAGAAAAATAAAACTAGTAAAATCAACAAATATTGTTTTTTATACATTTTTATTTCATAAAAATTTTATTTTAAATATTATCAATTTTTCAATTTAAATATTATCACGATCATATGGCTTTGATAAAATTTATATATATTATAAATCATAAATTATACATATTATCATTATATCTACAAATTTATAAATATATATATATATAAAACTGATGTCATCATTTTATTTCAGATTTAAATATTTAAATTTAATCAATATAACATGTTTTCTATGTTTTTACGAATATAAAGCATGAAACAATAAACCGCGGTTTTACCATGGAATTGCAATTGACGTATTTCCGGGTCGAAAACAATCGCCCAATCACGCCTTAACCGTCTATGTACTTCCGCTCTTCAATTACTCGATCACTGGGCTTTAACAAGAGATGTGAACACGAGATTGTTTCGAGAATGGTGAAATTTACATCGTACGAAATGAACGTATTCGAATGTATATTTATATTTCACAAAATCAAATTTCCAAAAAATACAACTGACATTTTAGTTTTGATGATTAATATCTTTAATTTATTAATCACAAATTGTTCAAACATTAAAAATATTTAATTATACAATTATTATTACAATATTACAATAAATGATTCGATTCTTACCTTTTGTATTATGTTGCAACAGTTGTCAAATAACCCGGTAAACTTCCAATGTGATATCCTTGAAGGTTAGGTTTTCGCCGGTTCGAATATATAAACATATAATTTTTTTAATTTATGTTTTTCTATTTTGGTATGTTATAAATTATTATGTTATATCGTTTTACATATCGATAAACAATATTATACACATGTAATACACATTTTAACCATAAAATTAAGTGTCAGATTTTACTTCACGCTACGTACGACTCGATGTTATTCGTAAACTTTCGTGTCTGATTCGTGCAATTCCGTCATTTCTCGGCCAGGTACGTGTCTCGATAGATAGTAAACTACAGTTTCAAGAAGGTAAAGATTTTAAGAAATGGTTAGAATACTTAGATAATATACTATTATTATGTTTTTATTTTGTTATTAGTTGTTATTTTTATATTTCATTATTTAACATAGAAAATTATTGTTTAAACAATAATAGTTATTATTGTTTAATATAATAATAATATAATATAATAATAGTAATTATTGTTTAAACAAAAATATTCTTTTAAAAGTAACATAATTATTAAAATAGAAAGAGTAATTATAAAATATTTTTTTTAATAAGATATACTCGTGATATTAACATAATTTATAAAATTTTTAATAAATTGCGAAAATATTAATTATTTGTTTCTAAAACATTGACGATGAAAGATAATATTTCTACATTTTTATTCTTTACATTTTTTTTGTACAGTTTTGTTTCTATAAATTTTTGTAAAAAGTTATATTAATAAATTTATATATATATTTCAAAAATATATTTATTATTTCTGATAACGTATATTTTATGTATTAAAATAGATAAAATTAAAATATAAATTCTTTGCGATAAAAAACTATATAATTTTTGATATTTTATAAATTGAAATTTTTATCTGAATGTAGAATATTTCTGAATTCTAATACCAATGCTAATATTATTTAAATATAAGAAAAATAAATAAAATAAAATATAATAATAAGAATAAAATCATGATTAATTAGAAATCATAATGAAATTTTAATGATTTATATAAAGAAAACATAATGGATTATGTAATATATGTAATAAGTAATTTTTTTTTAATTTTTAGCAGAAAATCTTCTTATATTCCGGAAAATTTCAGTATTTCTTTTTTATTTTTATTTTTTATTTTTATATGCAATTGAGAATTTGAGAATAATATTTTAAAAAATGGATATAATATTTTTGAAAAAATGATCTATAATTCATATAAAAATGTATATATATAACCCATTATACTCTATATGTATACAAAATTTAATCAAAATCAAAATTATTAGATTAAGTATTTTTTTTGTATATAGTAGATACATAATAAATATAATCGATTTCTTTGATTCAGTGTAATTTCAACTCGTGTCATATAATTACAATAATAATTCAAAATTTAATTCTAATATATATTTTTATTGTATTTTTATTAATAATTTATAAGCATTTAAATATTTTTGTAATTCATTACAATTATTTATAAATAAAGAAGATATATTAGACATACTTTTTAAAAAGGAGAAATTTATATTTTTAAAAAAAAAAATAAAATTTATTTTAATTTTTAAAAAATGACTTATTATTTTTTATAAATCTTTTATTATGTAATGGAAATTGTATTATTAATTATAATACAAATTCTATATTAATTTTTTAAATAAAAGATTAAAAATAGATATTG